CCGATGAATTTTTTTTTTTTTTTTTTTTTATTGCTATTATTGATTACATTTATACTTACCTATAAGTACGCTTAATGGATCTCGTCCCGTATCAAGGAACTGCGCAGATTATATGGTTTACGCCTACTATATACATACGATGTAAACGTATCTATGAGATTTGCTTAATTCGACTATTATATACACTTTATTACAATAAAACGTTTTTGAATATCACATATTTTTTTTTTTTTTTCATGTAGGCATTGCTATTTTAGAATAGGACATCAGAAACGCTTGCCAGGAATAAACTAAACTGCCGCCTATGATGATGTTCATAATTTATTTTTCCACGGTATAATAAATATTATGACCATAAAATTAGATAAAGTCTCGTAGCTTTTGGTTTACAATTCGGTTCACACAAATTGTCCGCCTTTGGATTCTTAAGGGCGACATAAAACTCTTCCCCTTTCACCGCATTAAACACTACTCTCATCGTAGTACGGCTGTATAGAAAATATATAGGTAATCCAACAACTATGTGTTTTGAAAGTATTACAAGGATTTGTTTTTTGTTTCGGATAATTCACAGGTTAAGTTACATGTGGATTGTAGGGCTTATTGACTTTATACATGATACATGACTCCTGTTAGTTCTGGTAGGTTTGTCTTTAAATGTTTTCGTATTATTATGAATATTTTCCAATAAATATTGCCATAAAAATACTTTAGGTCGTGTCAAATGTAAGTATTACGTAGCCTAAACAATGGTGGATCCAGAGTTGAATTTTTTTTTGGGGGACAGGGTTCTTAAAAAAATGTCAATTAATCTTTTATGCTTTTGTACAAAATATAATATTTATAGTTACCGGCATTATTAAACTTATATTCAGAAATAGAATATTTATTTTAATGACGGTTGACAGTATTTAAAAAGTGTTACTTAAAAATGTATACGAAATTGTGTAAAAATTGTAAATAACAAATACAGTTAAAAAGATTCACTAATGTCCGTGATCTTGGCAAAGGGCAGTAGGTAGTACCGTAGCCAAAGTTAAATGGGTCACGGTGGAAATTTAATTTGTGAACCCATTATTTTCCATTAATATTTAATCTAGCCGTATACATTAAAAAAAGATACGGACATACTACGCACGAAGGGTGGGCCACCGTTCTGGATGAGAAATTTAAAGGGGAAATTTAATGTATATCTGTACGCAACGATTAATCTTTGTTAACGAAAAACGATTCTGAGCGCAGTTCGGTTGTACATGTATTAAATGGCCGTCATATTTACGATTTGAAAATAATACATTTCGTAAACTCCCACATTTTTCCTACGCTTTTTCTCGGTTTTTCCCAATTATTTTGAAATTTTTTTGGAAAAATAAATGACATCCTCAGTGTGCCATCCCAGTCAGATTTCATTTCAGAAATAATGCTACCCTTGGAAATCGGATATTTTTTGGTAGAAAAGTTGTTCGCAGATTAAAAAGTAATAATAATATAATAAAATAAATACCATTATAAAACCAATACTAGGTCTGCTCAGAATCTAAAAACAATAAATATCAACATATTAGACATCAGTTTATTACCTTGAAATTGTTCTATTGATTTTAGTATAGACGAGGGATGGTGAACCTATGGCATGCGTGCCTAAAGTAGCGCTTTGGCCAAATTTCAATGGCACGCGAGAAAAAACAATTTAATTTATTTTTATTAGTTATAAGAATTTCGAAGAAATAAATTGTATACGTTTTAATAATGATAATATTCTTATGTACATAAATAAGATATTTATTATTGATTATTTTAGATTCCGAGCGTAGCGAAGGAGCTATTGGTTTAACTAAGATGTTTATTTTTTTTTCTTCTTCTAGCTTGTGGACACGTTTTTTCGTCTTTCGTCATTCGTTAAGCAATGGTTTATTGTTGATTACAGATAAAAATGAAATAACCTTCCCAACTTCTCACCTACAACAGAGGCCGCTCCCATCTCCAGTATTAGCTCTTTTATTATTATTATTATATTATCTTGTAACACTTGGAAAAAAAACATTATTGACACAAGACAACTAATGGAATAAATGAAATTTAACCGCCTCCAAGCAAACCGGGTGAAAAATGCAGACAATGAAATTTTGAAAGCCCGGAACTCGCTTCCAGATACAGTTTATACGCTGAAAAAAGTAGCTCATTCCATGCTTTCAATTTTTTTAACATACGCATGTGAAAGTTTTTTCTCCATAATGAATTAAACTAAATTGAAAGAAAGAAATGGTTTGACCGATAAGACGAGTGCTGTTTGTGTTTTATCAAAAATTACAAATTACACTCCTGACATCAAAACTTTATCTTCTAAGAAACAGCAACAAAAATCACATTAAAATATAATCATCATTTTTAATACATACAATTTAATTGTTAACACCTAATTTAACGATATTTTATAATACATAATTTATAAAATAAAAAAAAATGCGAACTTAATAAAATACATAGTATTCATAATATATCTGTAACTTTATTTTTCCTATTAATTCTTAGAAAATAATTTGTTATTGTTTGCGTACGTGAAAAATTGTTAAACCCTTAATTG